TGGTGACATCCTGCCTTCATACAGTGTCTCACAGGTTCCCTCAGAGTGGAGTGGTGACATCCTGCCTTCATACAGTGTCTCACAGGTCCCTCGCAATGGTGACATCCTGCCTTCATACAGTGTCTCACAGTGCAGGGCATCGGGGTCATGTCTCTCCCTGTCTGCACGCACCCCTGTGTGCCGTTGCACCATCCTCTGCCAGCCCCACACCCTAGGCAGGCCTCCTCGTGGCCAGGGGCTCAGCTGTGTCCAGCCCACGTGGCACATCCTCCCTTCCGCCCCCTGTGTGTGACTCCCTCCTGGGAGGCTCCTTTCCAGCGAAGCCCCTGCTCGGATTTGGATCAGCCGTAGTTACAACTGCGACTCTTCTGCCGGAAAGCTGTGTTTCCCAGCACATTATCAACCTCCACGGAAGCTCCTGGTGCTTCTGCCCACCTGGAGTCCAAACCAATAATCTTCATGTCAAACGTGACCTTTCGCTGACTCAGATTTGCAACTCATCATTTTTTTTTCTTTCTCACAGCCAAGTAACTCTTCGAAGAGACTTAAACTGTAAAAACACCAAAAATAAGGGTTTTCTTTCCAAGGCCCTAGGAGTGAAATTTTACCCTCAATAAAACTGCAACAACTCTTAAATCCTTAAAAACACGCCACACATTATAATTTTAAATTGCTGCTGATTTTTATTCTGGTTAGTCCCAGATCTTTGATAGTGTAACTGCTGTGAGGTAAAGTTGAGAATCACTGGTAAGTAGTTTAAATTCTTATTGTACTAAAACTATAAGATTCTAATGGAAAATTTATTTGCCTTAGAAGTTTGTTATGGTTCCAATGTGCTGAAAATCATTGTTATTTGAATTTTTTTTTTTTTAACAGATCAGGATCTTCATGATCTACCAAAGAGAAGAAGAATTAGAAAGCGTAAATCAAAGAAAAATCCCAAGAGTACTTACATAGAACAAGCACAGTTAGAGAAACACCAGTGTCTTTTACGAGAAGAATTACAGCCACAGCACACAGATGGCCCCACAATAAGTAAAAATAAAAAAAGGAAACTGAAAAAGAAACAGCAGATTAAAAGGAAGAAAGCAGCCGGCTTAGCGGCGAAGGCCTCTGGTGTCAGTTTTATGTACCAGCCGGAGGAGAGCAGCAGTGACCGGGAAGGAGCAGGAGACGTGGAAGGGCAGGTCGCCCCAGAGGCCCAGGACTTTCCCACCATGGATGCCAAGGAGCCGGACTCCACTGGGGCCAGTGAGGAGGACGCCACAGATGCCAGCGAGGAAGATGTCAGAATTACCTGTGAAAAGACGGAGAGTATCCTGAAGTTTCTGAAATCCACACAAGAAATTTATTTTTATGATGGTATGACTTTTTTACTGTTTTTCTTTTGCATAATGGCATCCACTTAAAAATTTGCAAAGAGAAATAAATATAGTAAAATATGTAAATGTTTAAAACATCAAACACATTAAAATATTCAAAATAAATAATAGATTTAAGACAAAAATTCTTTCCACCCAAGATGTGGCCTGGCACACTCCTCATGGCAAAGCCCACCTCTGGCTACCAGTGGGTCTGGGACCGGGTGTGGGAGTGCGCAGGTGGTACAGGCTATATTTCCAGGTAAAGGTGAATCCAGAGTGCAGGCTCAGATGAGCTCCTGTCCGTGTTCATAGCTGATGGAGAGCATGGAACTGACCAGCTCAGGGTTTTTCAGGAAGCATTTTGAGCAAAGGCTTGGACTGGTACACATTACAGAAGTGAAAGTAGGTCTAACCTCACAGGTGACAGTGCTCAGAATTGAATTACACATCACTAACACTGGACCACGGATTGGAGAGAAGTGAGCATTAACCAGAGGCCAGCACGGTTACCCAGAACAAATGTCCTCAAATAAGCTGTTTTCCTCTTTTAAGGACGTTATCAGTAGGTTCAGGGGAGTGGGGCAGGTTTAGCAGATCCCAGCTGCCACAAGACATTAGACAGTGTTCCCGTGAACAGGACTGCGGAGTAACTGATGGAAACAATGATACAGGAGTACCATTACTAAAGGTCGGTTCTGACCAAGCAGATGGCTGCACGTAACCTTAACCCTTCCCTCTGTGGCAGGTTCATCAGCAGTGTGTCCTAACAGACTGAAACCCAAACCCCCTGATGCTGCAGGGCAGACCCACTGCTCTGCGTTGGGGAAGCAGGGGCTGCAGAGGGCTGCTGGGTTTAACACCCTGATACTGCAGGACAGACCCACTGCTCCATGTCAGGGAGGCGGGGGCTGCAGAGGGCTGCTGGGTTTTCCAGCCTGTGAGTGGTGCTTGCAGCAGACGGATAGTCAGGCCCAGAATAACTAAAACCAGACTAAAAAGAAGAATCTGCGGAAGGAAGGTACAAGCTACTAAAAGCAAGCCCGTGGGAAGACAGAAGTCCCACAAGCCACGTGGTGGCCCTGCCCTTTCTGGGTGTGGCACTAGGAGAGGGCCTGAAGGCCACCGTGGAGCCCTCAGCACTAGACCACCCCAGAGTGTTTGTCAACCTCATGGGCTGGGAAGACAGGAAGCGGATGGCCCAGGGGCTGGTGAGAATGGGACTCCCGGACCAGACGTGCCCCTCACCAGGTCTTCCTCAGGGCCTTGGCTGGAGTCTAAAGCTGTGGGGTGAAGGGAAAGGAACCCAGAACCCAGCTTCTCAGAGCTGACCCAGCCTTTGGAGCTACAAGACAGCCCAGGGGTCCACAGTCCTTTGCCAGATGCACGACGCCCCACCATCCCTGTGTGGGCACACTGACCTGCCCCCACCCGTGTGCTGGCAGAGGCCTCACCAGGGAAAACACCATCATCCAAGGCCTCCCCTAGTTTTTATACATATTCAGTAACAAGGCACCAGCCATGTCTAGAGATAGGACCATCGATCCAGAAACCAGGAGAGAAAGAGCAAGCAGTGGAGCCTTGGGAGTGGAGGTATTGATGTCACCAGGCAAGCTTCAAAGAGGGAGAAGGTGGAAGATCGCAGACTTTTACCAGGAGTTGAGGAGACGCAGAACCCGGTAAGCAGGCACAACACCCCACAGGTGGGTCTGGCACAGAGGGAAGTGAGGTCACAGTGGAGCGGGAGCTCCCAGAGGAGGTGCAAGCAGAGTCCCAGACCCAGGGTCTGAAACTCCACGAAGGTAAGTACTGAAGCCACCATACCCCCCACAGCGTCATGGTCCAACTGCTGAAAACCAAGGGTGAAGAAAAGTTTCAAAGCAGCCAGAGGAAAAGATGCATTATCTTCACATCAACAGCAGGAGCCAGGCCTGTGTTTCACGGTTTTTCTTGAAGTGCCCTAAACAGGGAACAGTTGATGCAAATACGGAGCGTGGCCTCATGCCTAGTTCTGCTGCTGCTCATGCGCTGAGTGCATCTCACACGGGGAGGGCGTCTCACCGGGTCAGGCGCGTCAGCACAGGGACGTCTCTGCAGCGCCGCTCACTGCCAGTTCTGCTGTCTTACTTCCATCTCCGAGTTCTATTCTGATTACCTCTCCCATGGCTTTTTATATCCACACATCTCATCTTATGTACAAGTGTATGTTTGAGGTTTTCCTTAAGAGACGAAGCTTATCTTTGGTTTATGAACTAAGTGATATTGACTTTATTTAGGTATCTCCAAAGATCCAGATTCAGCTGTCTGTGTGGAAACCACCGAAGAGCTGCTTAACCACCTTGAGTCCCGCCGCCTGCCTCCCTCGGATGTGTTCATTCTTGATCACATGAAAACGCTGCTACTTTTGCAAGACATTGAAAGATTGAGGAGCGCCCTGGAAGTGTTCCCAGAACATTGCACGATGCCTCCTGGTGAGTGCTGTACAGTTTATTCATTGTCTTGTTTAGATATTCTTGTCCAGGTTTGCCTCTAAAAAATACACACCCCCACCACGAAACAGCAACGAGTCAGAAAATATAATGGCACACATATGGCTTGGAAGAATAGAGTCCCACAGAGAAATAGGTTTCTTTTACTTCTGCTCAATATAAAAATATTTCACATAATATATGCAGAAATGCATGTGCAATCAAATTTTCCAGATTTGTGAGCTATCAACTCTCAAAGCCAAATTCTCCTCAGTTTAAATAAGAAGTGAAAGGACTCGTCTCTCCTCCCTGCTGGGTTGGGGGGAAGTACATTTCTTCTACCTTCTGTTGTCCTTGGGCCTTTCTGAAGCCCTGCAGCTGGGAGGAGCGCTGCCCGTCTGTGGTGGCTGCACCAGTCCTCTCGTGCCACGTGTGGGCCATGTGAGGATCTCATGGTCACAGGGATCTGCACACATTGCAGATCAGAAAGCCAGGCTTCTCCAGGGCCCACATCACCTGCACACCAGAGCCAGCCTGGCGGCACTGGACCAGACAAGTGTGATGCGTGCTTTCCACCCTCAGAGCCTAGGGGCTGCCAAAGAGTACAGAGTAGTACATTTTAAAAGCCATCGCCATGGGGCGGCGCTTGTGGCTCAGTGGATAGGGCACTGGCCCCATATACCAAGGGTGGCAGGTTCAAATCCAGCCCTGGCCAAATTGCAAAAATTAGTTGGGTGTTGTGGCGGGTACCTGTAGTCCTGAGTAGGCTGAGGCAAGAGGATCACCTAAGCCCAAGAGTTGGAATTGAAGTTTGCTGTGAGCTGTGACGCCATGGCACTCTACTGAGGGCGACAAAGTGAGACTGTCTTAAAATAAATAAATAAATAAATAAATAAAATAAAAGCCATCACAACTCGACATATACCATAGAACAGATCCAGTGCAGGCCAGGGCCATGAGCGGTTGATCACAGGGCTACACAGGAGACAAACGCCATAGGTGTTCTGCTCAGGGAAAAAGGCATGTAGGGCCTCTGTCCTAGTGCCAGTGCCCTAGTCAGCAGGAAGGAAGGAAACGTGAGGGATTTCAAGGAGACAGACGTAGGAGAGTACAGAGTGAGAGGGGCATTCTTGCCACACTGGGGATGGGAGTAGCCGGTGGGGGGTGGGGTGGGGTGGTGCCAGATGTTACCCAGGGAGGCTGGACTGGGGAGCTGGCCTGGGAGGCAGCAGATGGGTGAGCAGTGGGGGCCCCAGGGCCACACAGGCTTCTATGCAGGGAGTAGCCAAGGCCCCTCTGGGCAGCTTTGGTGACCTTGGCGGGGGCACCCTGCAGCTGGGAGGAAAGCATTTGCTGAATGACGGGGTGGAGTTGCCAAGAGGAAGAGGATGGTCAGAAAGGTGTTTGGGGCAAGGACCCATGAACTCACACTGTGCAGTCAGGGGCTGGGCAGTCAGGTGGCCAAGACTTGGCTGTGGCCAGGACACAGGGAATAGAGAGGGCGAAAGGATGAGGGGGTGACAGTGGGCAAGGTGTCTTCTCAGAATGTGGGAAATGCCTGGGGGGAAGGCAGGCAGAGGTCTCAGAGGTGAAGTGTGTAGCCCACAGGCAGCTGCCTGGTTTGGGTGGTTATTAGCCTGTTTTATATAGTAAGTCTTCAGCAAGCCTATACTGCTGTGATAAAGTTTTATCTCAAACTGCAAAAAGCCAGTTTTATTAAGTCGACTAATATGAGATTTTCATGAGAGATGTAAGCCATTTAAAATTTTGAATTTTAAATTTTTTATATTTTTAGTCTGTTTCTTAGACATAAGACTTTTCAACTATGCAGTGTTCTGAAATGCATCAGACAAATTTTAGCAACTATTAGGGATTTAGCACAATGTCTAATACTAAAATCACTTGTGTCTTTATCAAAATAACTGGACAAGTGCTATCTACAAGGACGTTGACTTTAAGCAACTGTTAGAACTAAAACTTATGGCCCGTTTTCTGTAAAAACAGATTCCCTTTGCATGCATGGAAGATTTGAACTTGAAGTTCTTCTATGTCAGGAAGAAATAAAATTTGGTGAAATAAAATTTTATAAACAGTGAAGCTTTGTTTTCAAATATTGTATTTATTTAATTTTAATTACTAAGTTTAATTAGTAGCTGTATTTCTCATCTCTATAGGATCTCTATAGGGTAAGTGGGCATTTTAAAAGTAGGCAGAGAGCAGTTTCTTTCTACCTGTCATCTCTCCTCTTTCTTTGCTGGGTCAGTAATTGCTTTTCCTAAGTCAGAGATGTGCTCTCACAGTGTCAGGAGAGAGCCGTGGTCAGTAACACTGGCCTCATACTGACACGTTCGTCTTACCACGTGTACACTGTCATCAGTGTAAGCTCCGCTCACTGACACTGGGATGGAGTCTTGACAAGCTTTGAGCCACCTTTGACAGGCACCTCCTGGACAGTATGTGCTGGACCATCCTCCTGTGGGTCTCACTTGGGACTCTGCTTTTAACCATCTTCTAATTGTTCACCTTGGACATAAGCTTCTATTTCCTTTGGGTTCTTTTTTTTCCCAAGACTGAGTCTCACTATGTCGCCCTTAGTAAATTGCCAAGGCGTCACAGCTCACAGCAACCCCAACTCTTGGGCTTAAGTGATTCTCTTGCTTCAGCCTCCCAAGTAACTGGGACTATAGGCGCCTGCCACAGTGCCTGGCTCTTTTTTGTTTGTTTTGTTATTCTTGTCATTGTTGTTTAGCAGGCTCAGGCCGGGTTCAAACCCACCGGCCCCAGTGCATGTGGCTGGCGCCCTAACCACTGAGCTACAGGCGCCAAGCCTCTATTTCGTTTGGATTTCATTTTGTGTGTGGTTTCTTTTCAGAGCAGATTTTAGACCCGTGACACTGGCGCTGTGGCATCATGAAGCTCAGGTCTCGAGGAGCCAGCACACCTGCAGACTCACAGCCAGTGGGGGCCACCCCCAGACGCACTGTTTGCCCATTTGTCAGGCAGCACGTGGTTCATGGGCGTGTGCCCCCGTCCATACTGTCAGATACCAAAGTTGCATTTTATTATAGCTGATCATTTCAGGGTTTCCTCTGGGCCCAAAGGCTAATTATCTACAAACTAATAATTTATGATTTTTCCTTTTATCTTTATTTTATATTTTGTTTGTTTTGTTTTTGTCTTTCCAGAACATGCCAGAGTAATCACAGCCTTCTTTAATTACTGGATCACAAATGTCCTTCCTGAGAGCAACGGTGAACAGAATCAGAATACCTCTTTAAGACCCCTAATATTTAACAAGAAAATATGAAAGACACATATGAAGTGGACCGAGAGTTAATTCCCAGTATTTTCTTCATGACCTGTACCCTATGAACTTTGAAGTCATTTCTGCCATATTTATTTTGTACATAATTGTTAGACGTCATCTGTATTTCTATAGAATTTTAAATCCCTGCCTTACATCTGAAACTCTCTGTTTTAAGAATGTTTTGTGGGCAGCAGGCAGTTCTAGACAAATAGTTTGTAGCAGAATTTCTTCTTTTTTCCTTTTCTCTATCAAAACCTATTTTTCCTGTTTTATCTTTATCACAGAAGCAGTCGCTGATTTTTAGTGTTACTGAGTTTAAAAGCATCTATACAACATTCAGGATATTGGCTCTGTCCATGAAAATAACAGTTGTACTGTGGTAAAATACACATAGCACAGAATTTGCCATGTGAGGTACACGAGTTGGTGCATTCGCCACGTCAGAGGTGTGGACTGCAACCGTTTTCTTCCGTCTGCCAAAGGCGCTGCTGGGCGTCTCTCTACATCACTGGGGAGAGGTGCTGGTGCAGAGGGCACTGCTGGGCGTCTCTCCACGTCGCCCAGGGGAGAGGTGCTGTGGCGATGTTCCCTGTGGGTGGTTCTATGTGGACATTGCTTGCATCCTTGGACAGGGCACACAGGACACAGTATTTGAGGTTTCAGAGGTGTGACCTGCCCTCCGCCACGGCTGCCCATTTCATGCTCACACCGCTACTGCTCAGCCCCCAGAATCTCCCTGCTCCAGGTTCTCATGGTCGCCATTGCAGCCATCCTGGTGGTGTCAGCTGAGGTCTCGTGGTTTCGATTTCCCCTCCCCAAAGGCTGATGGCCCTGAGTGTCGTCTCCTGTGCCAGTGGCCAAACATCTGCTTCAGTCATGGCCCATTTGGTGGTGGGTTGTTTGGGTTTTGCTGCCATGTTATCAGAGTTGAGTGTGTTCTGGATAATCCCTTAGCCAACGTGGAGTCCAGCTAACCTGCTCCCGTGCTGCCTGCACTTCTGGCATCATATCTGAGAGTCATCACCAAACCCACTGTCATACAGTTTCTGCTCTGTGTTTCCTTCTAAGTGTCAGAGTTGTAGCTGTTTCATGGCTGCTGATCCATTCTGAGTTAGTTTTACAGGCAGTGTAAGGTAAGGATCCGATTGCATCCTTTTGCGTCTGGACATCCAGTTTCCCAGCACCATCCGCTGCAGACATTGTCTTTTCCCATGGAATCAGCACGCAAGGGCTTGGCTCTGACTCTCTCTTGCATCCCGCTGTCTGTCTGTCTGTCTGTCTTTATGCCAGTACCATGCTGCTTTGAATACTGTAACTTTGTACTGAATTTTGAAATCAAGAAGTATAAACCTTCCAACTTTGTTGTTTTTCAAGATTGTTTTGGTTATTTGAGAATGCCTCACAATTTCGTATGAATTTTAGGCTGGGTTTTTCTATTTATGAAAAAAAAAAAGGCATTTGTTAGCACTTGGATATGGCCTCATTGATTCCGGTTGCTTTGGGAGTCCTGACATCTTACCAGTAACTGGCCGGGTCCCTGGACTCTGGCTCCACAGCCGCTCTGCTCCCTGCAGACTTGTCCTTGTGCGTTCCTTGTGTTACTTAATCCTATAGCCCTCTCTTTAGTAGAGAAATTTATTGGTTTCTTTTTTCGGGTAACTCCCCTGCTCCACTCCCACCAACATTTTCCATCATTTTTGTTGTTTAGCTGCATATTCCTATACATTTTTCAACTTTACCTTCCAGTCCTTTCATTGATTTCCTTAGTTTCTTTAATTATAGGTTTTAATTTTCTCAAGGCACTGTGAAAAGCTCACACACAGCCCCTGTGGCCCGTTTGCCTGTGGGTCCTCAGATCCAGCCTCCAGACCCCCCATATCCTCTAAGTGTCCTCTGCGGTGCTCTTCAGAGTCACTGACAGGCGTATACTGCACTGATCCGCCCTGGCCTCCGGGACTCATGGGTCCTTCTCCCGTGGCTGCTGTGCACACTGGGCCTTACAGCAGCCACTTTTCACCAGGCAGAGGCTGGGGGCTTCTGGGTGAGCACTGAACTTGTCCCTCGATGGAGGGAAGAGAAGGACGCTCTGAGGAGAGGCACAGAGCTATGCTGGGGCTTGGGGCACACTGGCCATACCTACACACACCGTGCCCTGGGACACCTGCCCAACCACAGACCCAACTCCCAGTGGGGGCCTGTTCTGCTAGCAAGACCCACACACAGCTGCGTCCTTCCTGCAGACACTGAAGAGTGCTGCAGGGTTAGGAATAGCCTAACAGACAAGGCAGAACCTTCTGGAAACAGGCTGCAGCAGAAAGGATCAGTCAGGTTCTGGAGGTAGATGAGCCTGGGCCTGGGGGTGCGTCCTAGGGGGCTCACAGTCTTCATCTGCACCTCGCAAGCAGGATGCACTACCACTGTGTACAGCTTTGGGGAGGTGACTTTCATCTGATATAGGATTCTGGGAAAGGGTTAGGCCTCCACTGTGCATCAAAGATGTATAGTTGGCCAATAGGTATATGAAAACATGTTCAACATGGCTAATCATCGGAAAAACACAAACCAAAACCATAATGAGAGATCATCTTACCCCAATTACAATAAGGAGGGTACAACGAAAGGGGAGTGCTTACGCACTATTGATGGCAATGCAAATTAGTACAGCCATCATGGATGACAGTAGGGAGAGCTCTCAAAAACTAAAACTGTAACTACCGTAGGGTACAGCAATCCCACTACTGCCTATTTACCAAGGACAAAAAAATAGTATATATCTGCTTACCCATATTTCCTGTAGCACTATTCATAATACAGAAAGTAACAGCATCAACCTAAGTATCAACAGAAAAAAGGGTAAAGAAAATGTGGCATTATATACACAGTGGAATACTATTCAGCCATAAAAAAGGCACGAAAGCCTGTCATTTCCAGCAATATGGGTGGAACTGGAGGTCATTGTGTTAAATTAAATAAGCGAGGCACACAAAGACAAATGTTGCCTATTCTCACTCATGTGGGAACTAGAAATGTTGATCTCATGGTGGCAGAGACACCAGAGGCTGGGGGCGTACAAGGCTGGTGGAGTGGGGTGGGTTAGTGGGTACAAACACACAGATCTAATGTTTCACAGCAGAGTACAGTGACTATAGTTAACAGTAGTGTACTGTATATCTCAAAACTGCTAAAAGAAAGGGCTTGAAATGTTCCCAAGGCACAGAAATAATAGATACTAAGGGTGATGGACACTGGCTTGATCATCATACATTCTCTGCAGGTAACAAAATATCCCATGTGCCCTAGAAATAGGTACATATATTATGTATCAAATTTTAAAAACATCCAAGTTGAGAGAGGACTGAAGGTGCAGCTCTCTTTCCTAACTACCTCCAAGACTGAAGAACTTGGTACTGTCCAACAAAGCAGCTTTGTTTACTAGAAAGTTCTGTGGTACCCAAAGCCCACTCTCATTTAAAAGTAAATTTTCCGGCTCAGCACCTGTGGCTCAAGTGGCTAAGGTGCCAGCCATATACACCTAAGGTGGCGGGTTCGAATCCAGC